GTTGTCGATTTTAGTCTCTCTTTTTATATATTTATACATTCTTAATTTATTTTTATCTAATAATTATAATTTAAATGCAATATTTAAGATTTATAATATTCTGTTATATATTAAATTATATTAATTAATTATAAATATAAAGTTTGTTTTTCTGTTTATCAAATTCATATTAAAGTTGAAATACATATTGAAATTTTTAAACACGATAACATATTTTACAAAAGTTTATAATTAAGTGTTATAAATATAATCTTTTTTATTTAATATTATTGTAATGAACAAAATATAGATTGTATATTTGTTAAAACGAAATTAATAGAAGGGGTGTATTTAAGAATTTATAAATGTTGGAAGAATGAAATATATTTTTTGGGGGTAAAAATGGGGCAAAATATGGATTAGGGTTGGAGATGAAATACAATTCACCCTATTTTTACTCTATTTTTGGGGAAAAAACAGAAGTGAATTGAAGATGGTCTAAATTAACTCACATAAAGAGTATTTAGGGAAAAAAACCAAAGAAAGATACATGCGATAATGGTAGGAGCTGGGTTTTTTTTAAGATATTATATCCATAGAAATTCTCAGAGGGGATGGTAGCTTTCAAAGGGGAACACTGGAAATTTCAATTTCTTGAGCTAGAAAATTCAATTTGAATCTGTCGAAAGGATATTCATCTCTACCAGCCGAAAATTAAGAGATGATGATGACAACAACTTGTGATCGACTGATTAAAAAAATGAACAACCACAGATTTCAATATCTGATTTAGAGCCAATTTTTGTTGACCAAATAGGAGTTCTATTGAAAAATTCATTATACAAATAACATTATGGTCTTGTATCTTTTAAAATTCAGTCTTTTAAACAAATATTGATATTACGATATTATATATATATATATATATATATATATATATATATATATATATATATATATAAACACTTTACCACTCTATAAATACCAAACACTTACAACTTTTTTTTTTCACACCAATTTTTATATTTTCTCTTAAAAAATCATTCAACCATAATTTTTGTCATTTAGTTCATCGGATTCGATGATATTAGAAGAAGCCTTGTTTTTCAATTCTATCATTACAAACTCAGTCACATATTTCCAAAACCAAGAGGCTCCAAGTTTAGATTTTTGATTGAGAAGACCTCCGTTGAAGAAAAATCGCTAAGATAGGTACAATCGTCTTATATGAACTATTTTGCGGATGATGTTGTGTACTCTAAAATTTTTTGAAGACGGTGCCAGATGAGAAAAAATTATTTTTATTTATTGTTGCCTTGTTGGTGACTTGGAAGGTCGACACAAGAAGTTACAAGGTTGCCAAATATAATGTTCGGGTGCATCATATTCCAAAATATGATTTTAGGAGATGAATGAAAAACAATATGCCGCTAAGATGAAAATGGAATTTTGCAAACTACCAAAAAAGTAGTTGGTACGCAAAAGTATAGGCAAACATTAAGAGAATTATATGATTGTGATATTTATCATTATTTTCGTGTTGATTTGGTGAAACATATTTACATGCATTAACATATAGCACGAGGTCGATGAGTGACACATTGATTTTGTTTGATGAATCGAATGAAGATTCAAATAAGTTCAGGATTCAGACATCCATTTGGATTGATGTAGTTAATTATATTTTATTATGTAATTTTAGCTTGTGTTTTATTATTTATTTTTATTTTACTTAATGAAAGATTTTTATTTTTATTAAATTTTATGTTTCTTTATTATCTTTTAACTAATTGTATTTATTTGTTGATTAGTTTTTTAAAATTTAAATAATTTTATTTTGAAAAAAAAAAGTGAAATAAAATGAAAGATGACTATTTCGAAAACAGAAAGTAAATGAAGGAAAAATAAGATATTGCAGGAAAAAATGACAGGTAATACACCCTTGAGCCTTATGGGCGGACCAAAGCTACTTTTGATGGACATTTTGAAACGTTTTGATAGAACAGGCCTTATCTGTTACCATCGGACCAATGACCATTATGGGCATGATTTTTATTCCTTCATCTTTTGGACCTTTCTAAAGCCTAATTAATTTAGTAATTAATTTACATCAAAAGTGAATTTGCCTTTTGATATTATAGCTAAGGGGCACTTAGTAAAGGTCTAAGTAGTAGTGACAACTTCATAGATTCTCAAGGTGTAAGTCCCCAAAATTGCTTGTGTATTAATCAGATCCAATTGATGGCGCAGAATCCCAATCAATTGAATGATATCAGATCAAATAGAAGAGAAGGAGAAGAAGAATTAAGATGAATTTATGATGTATTAATGAAATGAATTATGCTCCTTACAATAGATTCTCTCACACAGACACTTCTTCTCTCTAGCTTTCTCTCTCTACAAGATGCTCTCTTCTACCTTCTAACCGTACACTCCCACATGCACACTCTATTTATATGGACCTCCAGCTATACACATGTGTACAGCCACACACCCTGTGTACGGTCGTACACAGTGTGTGCGGCTGTACACACGTGTACGGCCGTACACAGTGTGTGCGGCTGTACACACGTGTACGGCCGTACACAGTGTGTGCGGCTGTACACACGTGTACGGCCGTACACAGGGTGTGCGGCCATACACACGTGTACGACCGTACACACAAACCGCAAACACATACAACATTACATAAAAATATATTTTCCTAGAAAAGCAAAGTATAAATGAAATTTTTGACCCAACAATCCCCCCTTGGTTTATAGCTTTATTTTCTAACTGGCCCAACAAACTCCCCCTAAAACGTAGCTGGCTTTTCTTGTTAATCTTCGTTGGGAGCTTGGCTTCAGCACTAATCTTCAGATTTCTTCACAGCATCAAGATGAACATATGAATCTTCTATGAATGATTTCATCTTGAGTGGTTGGGCATTTCTTCAAGAATTTGACATTGAACGCACATTGGGTGAGGAGGCTTGTTGTACTGATTCTTGAAAGATAGCGCTTTCAGCATGATAATCTTCAGAGAGAACAGAGAGAACGAATCTTCTGGATCACTTCAGCAGGTTCATAGATAGCATCAGATTGATCGAGGAGGCTTCAATGCAATCTGTGACATAATCTTCAAGTACATCATCACCATGCATCTGGGGTTGACAGATTGAATATTTAAAGAATAATCTTCATTTCTTGCTCCTCCGAATGCGAATTCTTCGATGATCACGGATGAAGCCTTGACTCAAAAAATCTCGATACAGTCTCCTTGAGTCTTATCTATTCTATACCTGAAATCACTTTTCAAGACAAAACAAAACTAAAAGAAAAATTAGCACACAAAAAAGTATTTTTGGATTTTCTAATTTTTCTGAACAAGAAATAACACTATTTTTGGATTTTAATTTTCTGATTTTTGAATTATTTTTGATTCTCCACCTAAAATTTGTGCATAGAGAAAAACTATGAACAAATTTAACAAAAGTAAAATGATATCTAACTTTAAGAATGATTTGGGATCAAAGTTTTTAGACAACCTTTATCCGCTTGTCGGTACCTTCTATCTTCACATCTTTGTCTGGTCGATCGTCGTTATTGTTGTGCACTTAAACACGAAAAATTGTGACAAAATTAGGACACACTAATGAGTGACAAGACAATGTGATCCTAAATTCCTAGATATTATATTTAAACCTAAGTTTCTAGATACTATAGCTTAAGTACTATTCAGCTGACGACGACCAGGGATATTGTTGTCCACCTAAATTGAGCAGCAAGATCTATAGACAATTTGTATGAGTTTAATTTTAAGTGTACTAGAACGGGTTTCCCGCATCCTGATATGCCCCAGTAATCAAAGACTTCCAGAGTACTCCTTACATCGGGTGAGCAGATAATCATTAAGAGAGAAGATAGATTTAGATTATTATCACTTATAGTTTTTAGAGAGATTGAGAAGTAGAAGGTTGCATATGCTGTGTACCAGGTCGGATTGTTAGTCACGCAAAGGAGACATCATATGGCTAACAGATAAGAAGAATTTCATAGATATAATATGCAGAGAAATAGATTTGCATATGTTGCAGTCCAGGTCGGATCTCTTCCAATCACGCAGAGGGGGCAACATATGACTAACAGTAAGAAAGAAAGAATATAATTTTCTACAGACCTAATTCATCGGAATTTACCAGTCGCCCCATCAATACCGGAATTAAGGACAGACTCCACACATCGAGGAAAAGTTAAGCCACGGTTCCAAGTACGGGTTCAATTAATGTGACGAGTAGATTCCAATATATATCTCCCTGCTCAACCTACCCAAACGTCGTATTGTCAGGCTAAACGGAACTATCTAGGTCAAGATTTATTAAGTCTCTAGATTCCTTAAGTTGATCTGCACCTAGTCAAGTCTGTTAAATTCTTCATGCCTACTGACACATCAAACCAGAGCATAGACCCTTCAACATTGGGTACGTTATGCAGACTTAGATTGCATGTTATCACTTAATAATATCACTTCCCAAAACATCTCCCACAAGCACATTCCATAACCAACATATTATTTTTCTATTATTTTTTTTAATTTTTTTAATTTTTAATTGCCCTTTGATGTAAAACCGGGAAAGTCAACCTTAAAAGTCAAATTTAAAAAGTCAAACTTGAAAAGTCAAACTTAAAAGGTCAAACTTAAAAGTCAAACCGAAAAACTAAATTTGAAAAATTAAAAGTCAAACGAGAAAGTCAAAATTTAAAGTCAAAGTCAAAATTTTAAGGTCAAACATAAAAATAAAATCAAAAATTAAAAAAAAAAAAAAATTGGGTTGAAAAAGAATTTTAAAAATAAAAGGAGTTGATTTTTGGGGTTAAAATAGTCAATTTTCGAAATTTGGAACCGAGAGAGACACTATATGAATTAAATTTCGAAGGAGGGAACCGAAGTTTCTGCTAGCTGAGTTGGTAAAGCGTTGTGGCAAAGACCTAGAGGTCCCAGGTTTGATTGCCGGCACCCCCAATCCGTTTTAATATTTTTTAATGCGAAGCTGCTGTGCTATGAGGACTACTGCAAAGCTTGCTGAACGCGATGCGAGACGGAGGTGCGAGGCAAGGACGAGGCTGAGGTTCGACGTAAACTGCTGCTGAATGAGACCGAAGCAAAGACGCTAGACCGTACACGAGATTAAGCCGCACACACCGACCCGACCGTACACGAGATTAAGCCTCACACACCGAGCCGACCGCACACCGAACCGAGCCGCACACCGAGTCGTATACTTTGAGCCGCACACCGAGCCGGCCGCACACTCCCGAGCCGCACACACTGAGTCGCACTCCTTCAACTAGCAGCACACCTTCAACCGGGTCGTACACCTTCAACATATTCGCGAAAAAACGACGTTTTTCACCCTTTTTTGCTCTAAAACTCGATCAAAAACTCGTTTTTATGAAAAATGCAAAGAAGTAACCCCCCTTAATTTTGCGAGATCTATACAAAAACGCTATTCTTTTTTCAAAATAAGATCAAATAAGCTCCAGATCTGACAAAATTGATTGATACAACCAAGCTCTGATACCAATTGTAAGTCTCCAAAATTGCTTGTGTATCAATCAGATCCAATTGATGGTGCGGAATCCCAATCAATTGGATGATGTCAGATTAAATAGAAGAGAAGGAGAAGAAGAATTAAGATGAATCTATGATGTATGAATGAAATGAATTATGCTCCTTACAATAGATTCTCTCACACACACATTTTTCTCCTTAGCTTTCTATCTCTACAAGATGCTCTCTTCTACCTTCTAACTGTACACTCCCACATGCACACTCTATTTATATGGACCTCCAGCCATACACATGTGTACAGCCGCAGACCCTGTATACGGCCGTACACAGGGTATGTGGCCATACACACGTGTACGGCCGTACACACAAACCGCAAACACATACAACATTACATAAAAATATATTTTCCTAGAAAAGCAAAGTATAAACCAAATTTTTGACCCAACAAAAGGCAATTTCGAGTACAAAAAATCATGGAGTGCCTCTTTTTTTCTTATATATATATATATATATATATAATTATTATTATTATTATTATTATTATTATTATTATTGATGTTGGGCGGGAGGTTTAGTAGGTTACGCCTTCACAATCCATTGCTATTAGGTTAAAGGGAGTCGAGGTGTTAAGGGAAGTATAAGGAAAATGCTAAAGATGTTATGCTACTCCTTACCTTATGGTAAGAAAGGTGCTAAGAAAGGGGTGTTATGTGTGTGGCTACAAGAGAGAGGAGAGAGAAAGTATGAAAGTATGTTGTGATTGGTTAATTTGTATTTCTTTATACATTTTAATTTTTTTTCTTCAAAATTAAACATATTAAATTGTCATACTTCCACTCCTTACTTTTTTTATACTAAACATGTTAAGTCTTTGTATCATAAAAAAACTAAAAAAATCCTATATGGCAAAACGTCAAGAGTGTTACCACTCCATTTAACTTTAGGTTCATTGTTTTGTAATTGCTCTTTTCTCATTCTCTTTAGAATATAAAATCTTGTGGCCAATTGGCCATACATTATCATTTTGAAAGTGGAGCAACATAAATTTATGTTTTGTCCTGTCTTTTCTTTTACGTGGTTATTGTAATCAAGAACCGTTTCAAACATATTTTAGGTTCAGGACCAAAGAAAAAAATGATCCTTAAAATCAAAGCCTTTTCAAGTATATTTTGGGTTTATGACCAAAGAAAGAAATAACCTTTAAAATACACAAATATCATCAAGTTTTTATAATAATTTAATTGAAAAAAAATTACATTTAATATCTGCTAAATATAAAAATTTTCATAAAAAATTAGACGATTTTAAAAGATAGACCCTGGAGGAACGGGAGCCGACTATCATTTATTTTTTTGGGTTGATATTCATTCGAATATTGGTAGTCGGCAACTATCGGTTGACTATTATTTCGATCATTTTCATTATCTGCAATCGTTGTTGGTGGAATAAGAGTTGTACTAAATCCCAAGAGGGAAAACTTCATTCTGAGCATTATCTAAAAGCTAGAAAAGCTTTTTGGGAAAGGTTAGGTTGATGGATTTGTAGTTTAGACATTCAAAAGCGAGATACTTTGCTTCCTCTGCAGCCTTTCAATCCAAACAAACATAAACTTTATTTGCTACCCACCATGTGACACTTTTCTTGCCTTCCTCCATTGTTCATAAACAGGTACAGTAACTTCCCTTTTAGGGTTTCTTCATCATACAAAACCCTTCCCTCCCCCATCATCTTTTCCTATCTTCCTAGAGTTGCTAAGAATGGAGAATACGATCAAGCAAAGAAGGTAATGAGCCTGTATATGATCGTAGTCGGTTTATTTGATCTCATAGTATAACTTTTGTTATGGCTAATTTATTAATTAATCCAATGTTTCTTTATTTAGGATTTCATTTTCGGAGCTTCTACAGCGTGATAACAAAGAATCGTTCTCCAAAGGTTTGATTCTTCATGACTCCAGATTTAAGATTCTGGTAGTTTGTTTTAGAAAACCTTCCAGCAAGAATAATTCTACAAGTTAAGGTTGGAAAATGTTAAAAGAACAAAAAAGATTAGTATTTTGATCGACATTGGTTTTCGTTTGTAGATAAGAAGTCACCAAACTGGTACCATCAAAGAAATAGTCAAGATTATGTTTCCATCGACGATGAACATATGGCTGCCATAGCTGCAGCCACTTTCGCTATACATTCATTGGAAGAAAAAGCGATATCTGAGTTTCAGAGAAAAGAGAAAAGTAGAGAAGAAGGTAATGCCATGTGTTAAAAAATACGTTTTCACTTTTCATCTTTTACATGAGAGCCATAGAGATAGTCAAGCTTAACTAACCTTTTATGTTAGTTGAAGCTTCCATGAAAACCAAAATGAGTCAGGCAGATAAAGCTCCATCGTTCTCAAGACCAAGTAGACCTAGAGAGGCTTATGCTAATAGAAGTTTAAGCATACATGGAAGTGGGAACACGAAAGTTGATGCATGGGAAAAAGCCGAATTGCTAAAGATTCAAAACCGGTACCAAAAACCCGTTGTTCTAAGCATTTTTTTTTTGAATTTTTTCTTTCCATTAATGTTCTTTAAAATGACAAAATTCCCAGATATGAGAAGAGTAACCTAACAATTCTTCAATGGGAAAACGAGAAGAAAGCAAGGGCTAAACGTCGAGTGGAAGAGAAAAAGGTTCGGCTATCGTTTTTTTTTTTTACACAAAATCAATATAATGAGTAAATGACTAAATTTATACGCTTTTAAACAGAAAGAATTGGAACAAAGAAGATCGATCAATTGGCAGCATTACCAGAACAAGCTGGCGAGGATTGATCATGTAGCTGGAGGCGCTAGATCGCAAGCAGAAGACACAAGAAGAAATAATGAGAAAAAGATAAAAGAAAGAGCAAGGGAAATGAGATCACATGGAGTTACATCTCCAAAATATTGCTTCTTGTGTTAATTTGAAATTTGAATCTTTAAAAGATTTGTTTGGTTTCTAAGAATTCTGTAAATGATCTTGAAAATCGATAACCTTGAATTAATTGGAAGAAACTAAGAAATATTAGTTGTAATTTTATGTGATTTAGATGGTTATTTTTACTTTTTAGATAAATAATCGATGTTATAAAAATGTAAAAAGTTTATAATTACACTTTGCAAAAGAAAAAAGTAGGGTTTTTGGTAAACATTACACTGACTTTTGAAAAATAAAACATATACTTTGAAATGTAATATGCTATTTATGTGAGGTGTATATTTGAAATTATTAATCTCCAAATTAAATACAAAATATAAAAAGAATATATATATATATATATATATATATATATATATATATATATATATATATATATATATATATATATATTCAAATGAGAACAACTTATATTGAGAACATTTGAAAACAAATTTCAACCACACATCTAAAAAAAAAGGAACGTATCATTTAAGTGCTAATAAAAAAAGGGATTATCTTTAATTTAACTAGTGATTCCCTATGCTTTGTTTTTCACGCATAAACTTAGTGACACCCAAATATCCTCCATCCTATGAAAGCTATGATTTCAACTTACAAAACTTAGTGAGGATAAATCTGACATTTTACTAAATTAAATAATACATACAAATGAGATATCACACAATGAAGGAGGAAAAGTGCAAAGGCACTCATGCACAATTATTCCCCAAACACTTTCATTACAATTTATTGATTCTTATTTACTTTTTTATAATTCTTTACAATTATTAATCCAATTCCCCTTTGTGTTCTTAATCTTTGAGCCATTAGGATCCATCTGTTCCTAATATTTAAATCCCATTTCGCACAATACTATATAATCTGAGTAGCAAAAAGGAATGAATTAACCGTTGTCACTCACCTTTCTTGTTGTCAATGGCAAATTATAGTTGTTGTTGTTGTTGTTGTCCAATTTTCCTATGAGTTGAATCTACGCTTGCATTGCATTATTCGCTTAACGAACTGGTAATTTGCCCCACACCCTAGTAAACATGGTGGTTATTTTTAGCTTGTGTTCAACTGTTTATGATTGATGTGCAAGTTCTTTGCTACATTCCATGAGTTCTAATGATTGCTACTTAGCATATCTGTCTCGATTTTGTAACGAATGTGATGCCAATTATATAATATCATGTCCTATTTTGTCCGTTGATGTGGATTTTAAGTTTTAATTAGCATTTTGGATGACAATTTCAGGTTGGTCTGATGTTATCTCTGCTGGAAGTTACTTGAATTGGAAAGAGTTTATATATGGATTTAGGAAATCTGAGGGTGATTTGTTCTTAACCAATTGCATTTAAATCGATTGCGTACGTTTTTATGGCAATTTCACCGGTTCTGTGACACGATGTCATGATCACATGATTCCAAAGAGATTGATTTCAAATAGACAAATAAATTCGGAATACAATAGGCATATTACACTGTTTTCTTCATGATAGCGGTATTTAAACCATAAGTGGAAGCACTCTACACCAATTCAACATGAGACGACCTTTATTCCATTAACTTTCTTTAATTTTTGTCCCTAGACCACCATGGACTTGGATACTTCTATGTCTTTTTAGTTTTCTTATCACATCATGCCTTCTGCCCAACACCGACTCCTCTCGTTATGCCCCTCTAACATTGACCCCGCCTCCTAGTGCTTTTCTTCTTCATATGAACTTTCATCTATGCACGATACTTGTTCTAGAAATTCAATGCTCAAACTCAATAATTTGTTCTTCCAAAGGTACTATCACTACTCTCTCTCTTTCTCTCTCTCTCTCTCTCACACACACATTAGCACATTCTAGTTTGATTTCTACTCTAATTAGGAAAACAATGGATTTGATCGAATTATGAGTCAGATTCATGATATTGTGAAATCTGACATCGTTCCATTTATAATCATGAATCGTTTCTTCTTTATGCTAATTGTTGGTGTTAATGATAAACGAAAATAGTAAGCTCTGCGGGCTGGAATTGAGTCTATTAAAGAGTTGATGATCACTGTAGGATTTCATGCACACAAGGTGTTTGTCATATTTTCTGAAAGAACCTAATAAATGTAAAAGTAACATTTTATGTGAAAATCCTAAACTTTGAACCCTTATTAAGCCAAACATTAAGGTCCTTAGGTTAAATTGAATTTCACATCTGAATATCCTAATGAGTAACCAACAATCATGTTAAAAGTGATAAACATAAGGCTTAACAATTAAGTACTTAATAGAACACCAAAAGTTATTTTAGAAGTTATTATGATCAATTTTATCAAATCTTGTAAACTTCATGCAAGTCATTAGGAACACCTAAAATCATGAGACTTATTTTTATGGAATTTTTATTGTGTCGAGTTTCTTCAAACTTTGAATCACATTTTGAAATTCCAAATCCTTGAGGGGTAAAATTGGAAATCTTCTCAGTTTGGTCCATGTTGTCATAGATTTCATGCATTCTTTTCAAAAAATCATAATAAATTCAACAAAACTCCAAATGTCAAAATTCCAAAGCCTATAGTTAGATATAGATGTATAGTTTCCCACATTAAGGGTCTGATGTAATTCTTAGTACATTGGCACAGTTTATTCCAATAATATTGAGTGGTTCAAAGTGTGACAGTTTAAAGTTACTAACTTGTAAATTTGATATAAAATCAATCAAAAATCACTAGAACGAGATCTTTATATTTCTGAAAAGATAAAAGAGGGAAATTTACCAATATTATTTTTATCAAAATTTAAGAATGGGTGGATAGGTAAGAAAACTGATCCCAAAAGAGCACTACAATCAAAGAGAAAATAATAAAATATATAGATAAGTTTTATAAGAGTAATACAACAAAGCACAAGCAAAATAATGTTATGATTTTTGTGTAGGTTCTCGGAATGGAACGGATCCATCTTGCTCATGCTATTTAATTTTTAGGTTCAATGAGGCGAGTTATACTAACTCTGCTATTATGTAGGCATTACTTGTTTTATGATATTGTTTAATGTTACCCAAATCCGGTAGAGTGAACAAGGAAAGGCAAAATGTAGTTTGTTTTTTAGTGTGACATGCAGACAAGATTCATTTCCGCATTCTTGATTCGTTAATTGTTCTCGTGTATTAAATCTCATGCGATTATATGATCTAGTCACATATAACTTATATGTACAAGATTAACTTTTGTGTTTTCGATTCAATAGTTGTTCTTTGTCCATATTAATCATATATGATAAAATATATAAAGTGACATATGATTAGTTACATGATAAGAACTATTGAATTAAGAATACGAATTTGAATCTTATTCACATAAGTCATATATGATTAGATACGTATAATCACATGTGATTAAATACACGAGAATAACTATTAAATCGAGAACACAAACACGAATATTGTCTACATAAATCATATGCGATTAGATACATATAATATCATGTGATTATGTGTATCTAATCACATATTATTTACGTGGCTAAGATTCATTTTCGCATTCTCGATTCAATAATTGTCTTTTTTCCACTTTAATCATATATGATTAAATACATTTAATCATATGTGATTATATGTTTCTAATCATATATGATTTTATTTGGAAAAAATGAATCTTGTCTATATAAATTATATGTGATTAGATTCATACAATCACATGTGATTCTATATATGATAACAAATATTGAACCAAGAACACAAAAACAAATCATTATCCAAATTAATCATATGCGATTAAATACATCTAATTACATTTGATTATATGAATCTAATCACATATTATTTATGTGGACACAATTCATTTTTGCTTTGTCGATTCAATAGTTGTTCTCATGTATTTTATCACATGTGATTATATGTTTAATCGCATGTGATTAAGTACATGAGCACAACTATTGAATCGAGAACACAAAAATGAAAATTGTCTACGTAAATCATATGCGATTAGATACATATAATAACATGTGATTATGTGTATCTAATCACATATGATTTATGTTGCTAAGATTGATTTTCGCATTCTCAATTCAATAATTGTCTTTTTTCTACTTTAATCATATGTGATTAAATACATTTAATCAGATGTGATTATATGTTTCTAATAACATATGATTTTATTTGGAAAAAATGAATATTGTCTATATAAATTATATGTGATTAGATACATACAATCACATGTGATTATATACATGATAACAAATATTGAACCAAGAACACAAAAACAAATCATTATCCAAATTAATCATATGCGATTAAATACATCTAATCACATTGTATTATATGAATCTAATCACATATGATTTATGTGGACACAATTCATTTTTGCTTTGTCGATTCAACAGTTGTTCTCATTTATTTTATCACATGTGATTATATGTTCATCGCATGTGATTATAGTCACATGTGATGATATGTTTAATCCGGTAGAGTGAACAAGGAAAGGAAAAATGTTGTTTGTTTTTTAGTGTGACATGCAAACAAGATTCGTTTTTGCATTCTCGATTCGTTAATTGTTCTCGTGTATTAAATCACATGTGATTATATGATCTAGTCACATATAACTTATATCCACAAGATTAATTTTTGTGTTTTGGATTTAATAGTTGTTCTTTGTCCATATTAATCATATGTGGTAAAATATATAAAGTGACATATGATTAAATACATCATAATAACTATTGAATTGAGAAGACGAATTTGAATCTTATTAACATAAATCATATGTGATTACATACGTATAATCACATGTGATTAAATACACAAGAACAACTATTGAATTGAGAACACAAAAATGAATATTGTCTACATAAATCATATGCGATTAGATACATCTAATTACATGTGATTATGTGTATCTAATCACATATGATTTATATGGCTAAGATTCATTTTCGCATTATCGATTCAATAATTGTCTTTTTTCCACTTTAATCATATGTGATTAAATACATTTAATCAGATGTGATTGTATGTTTCTAATCACATATGATTTTATTTGGAAAAAAATGAATATTGTCTATATAAATTATATGTGATTTGATACATACAATCACATATGATTATATACATGATAACAAATATTGAACCAAGAACACAAAACCAAATCATTATCCAAAATAATCATATGCGATTAAATACATCTAATCACATTTGATTATATGCATCTAATCAAATATGATTTATGTGGACACAACTCATTTTCACTTTGTCGATTCAATAATGGTTCTCATGTATTTTATCACATGTGATTATATGTTTAATCGCATGTGATTTAAGTACATGAGCACAACTATTTAACCGAGAAGGAAAACATGAATCTTGTCCACCTCAAATCATATGTGATTATATACATATAATCACATGTGATTAAATACACAAAAGCAATTATACAATCGAAACCGCAAAAATAATTATTGTCTACATAAATCATATTTGATTAAATAAATACAATCACATGTGATTATATGTATCCAATCATATATATATATATATATATATATATATATATATATATATATATATATATATATATATATACGTATAAGATTCATTATCACATTCTCGATTCAATAATTGTTCGTTATCAACTGTAATCATATGTGACTAAATACATCTAATCACATGTGATTATATGTATCTAATCACATATGATGTATATTGACAAACGGTAATGATGTCTATATAAATCGTATGTGAATAGATACATATAATCATATAAGATTATATACGTGAGACCAACTATTGAATCGAGAACACAATTATAAATATTGTCCACATATATCATATGTGATTAAATGCATATAATCACATGAGATTACATTTATCTGATCACATAGAATTTATGTGTAAAATATTCATTTTCGCATTCTCGATTCAGTTGTTTTAATTACATGAGATTATATGTATCTAATTATGTATAATTTATATGGAGAATATTCGTTTTCATATTCTCGTTCAATAGTTGTTCTTGTACACTTAGTCACATATAATTTCTGTATGCAAGATTCATTTTTGCATTTTCGAATCTTGTTCACATAAATCACATATGATTAAATACATATAATCACCTATGACTAAATACGCATATGCTTATATATATCTAATCACATATGATTTATGTAGAGATGATTTATTCTTAAATTCTTAACTCAATAGTTATTCTTTTACCACATTAATCATATGCGATTAAATTGATATAATCACATATGATTATATGTATCTAATCATATATGATTTATGTGGATAATATTCATTTTTCTGTTCTTGACTCAATAGTTGTTCTCATATATTTAGCAATATGTTATT